GCCACAACTCCACGCTCTCAGGAAAGTGACAAATTCTTTCCTGCCTTTTGAGAAAAATCAAAGAAAAGAGAGGAGATTGTCTCCAATTTAGTTCTTGCAAATTAATACCTAGTGAATATTCTCAGTGGGGGCTAAATACATAAGTCTCAGCAGGTATTTACTCTTAATAAGAAGGTTTTCATCCAGATAGCCATAAAAATCACTAAAAGCAAATTCCAATGTATCCAGTAATGTTACAATGAAATACTACCCTTAAATCCTATTTCACAACTTTTATTAAAGTCATAAAATGGCAAGAATCTTAACGTCATATTTCACTCCCAAAAAATGTATTTCTTCGTCAGGCAAAGAAAAATCACTTATATAATGCACTTCACCAAAACTGAGAGCAGAATACAGAAAGTCAGCAGCAGTTTTAGATTTATGCAATCTATACATTTCCTGAAAGACAGTAAAAAGGGCAAACCAGACATCCCATTTCCATCCCAGTCTGACTCCAGTACTGGCCACAGCTTCCACTTCCATCCTTGCAACTTTCTTTGCCTATTTGCTCTTCAAATTCTCCTTTCAATCTCTCAACATATTTTCGAATGCTAAAAGCTGAAAAATAAGTCAAGAAGGGGAAGGAAGATCATAGTAACCGAAAGAATTAAGAAGCAAAAATTCTGCAAGTTTATCCATTCACTCACAAGCAGAAAAACATATCTGGACAACTATGTCCTGGGAGATACCATGAGACCATAATCATCCCAGCAAACTAAACACTGCAAGTTACATGGGCAATTGAAAACTAATTTGATGAAGAATTATTTGTATAATATAAAGTATCATACAGATTCAAAAAATAAGCCATTCTTTAGAGGCTACGTGACCAGGTTCCCAGGACAGAGAGGCCTCCATCATATTTTACCAATATGATGCCCAGATTTGTTAGGAGGGAAGAGAAAATCGTCACCTTTCTTCTGAGTATACAAAAGCAGATGCCAGCTCCCAAGTCAGTCTCAGTTAATTTGAAAGCTTATAAGAAGGCTTTCAGAGTCAAGAGTGGCCAAAGCATTTCACAGGCAATTTATTCAGTCTAACAGATGTGAGAAAATGTCATGTAATTCAGCATAATGATTCTGCTTATCTCAATACAGTCCACACCCTCCCATCTGCAGGGTCAGGCTTTTAAAACAAGCAAAGTATGAAATGGTCATTTTCAAAATTAAAAGAATTAACTTAAATGATGTAAAAAAAAAAAAAAATTATCAAAATTGCTTAGCTGAATATCCTACATTATATAATTTGTAACCTGGAATAAAGTAATCAATATTAACTTATTATTACCTACTCTTAAATAAGCATTTTCATCAGCTACCATATGATTTCGAAGACCATTGAACTAATTCACTTCTATCTGCCAACATTAATTCAACAGTATTTCAAGGTAATAATCAGTATTGATCTAATTATATCAGCTGTCTCCTGTAAATGAGACAATTATTACCAATTATTTTATTAAAATATTAAATAGTTAGAAAATAGAAAGGAACATATATTAATAATTTATATACTTGATTTGAATATACCTGAACAACCATCATTCCTGAAAAACAAAGCTTGCTTTCTTTGTATCCCTCTTTAATACTTTACAGCAAGTTTCAAGACACAAACCACCAATCCAAAACGACAGGAAAACTGCAAAATTTATATTGTCCTACTTTTATATAAATGCATGCATACTTGCAGACTATTTCTATTGGCCTTATTCACTTAAGAACTCCTCCAAGAATACTCAAAGGCGTTTCCCTATTTGGTAAACATCAACAGGTCAGTTTAGGCCTTAGGACATCTGCCTTCTAAGAGGTTTTGATCTAATACTAAACCCTTTGATTTCTGTGCATGGCAAACAGGAGGGTCCATTCTTGTGATTCTGTAGATGTAGTTCTTAGCAACAGGGTTTAGAACTGGACTTGGCAGCATAAGGCTGATGGTTGGACTCAGTGACCTTCAAGATCTTTTCCAACCAGAATGATTCTGTGATTCTCATTTCCTTTACATGAAAATTATACAAATCATCCACACACTAAGACAAGACAATCTGGGAGCCTTTTTACCTCTTTCTTTCCCCCATTTCTTCTTAAAGTTAATCTTAGAAATCTCCCTTTAATGTTTCACCTGTGCTTTTGTGGACTGTAAGGATATTCAAAATGCCTGTACCCCTGTTTGAGAATGAGACTGAGTATTCAGGTCCTGCACTGAGATTTCGGTTCTTCCCAAAAGCCACAGAACGTAACTTAATACTAAAGAACTACGGCAATATTAGAAGTTATGGTTACTTGATTGCCCTGTAAAAATAAGATTCCTTTTACAGGTCTTTTTAAAGCTTTTAACAGTAAACTTCTACAGCTTTTTTACCATGTTTCAAAAGAAATAAAGGAAATTTGCTCAGCTTGTTTTCTTTGAGATACAACCAATGTGCCCAGTTCCCTTGAATCACGATGATTTAAAGACCAAAAAGGGAAAAAATCATTTAGCACAACCATATGCAATTAAAATGCCAGGCCTGTTAACTAAACAGTTAGCAAAAATTAATCAAACTAGAGGACAAGAAAGCATACTACAAACTATGAACTAGCATATTCAAACACACATAAGGTTTGACTATCAAGAAACAACCTAAAAGCTAAGAGTTTCATGTTAAAGTAAGTTGTCCTTGGAAATTTTCATTCTAAAACATATGGTATAGCTTATTAAGATTATACTTCAATATTAAGTCCTTATTCAAAGTTAAGAAGCATTGACGCAATAATCATATCCATAATCTTTACCTTCTAGTGAATATACATCAAAATATACTATTTTAATATAAAATTATGAATACTACCTTTCTGTAATACGAGACACAATGCCATTCTGTACCAGATATCCTGCATGCAACAGAATACACGAAGAAAGAAGTTGAATATTGACAACACTAAGGTGTATACAGTAAGGTATATACATACCTTAACGAAGAAGCAAATGGGAAATAAAAGTGCTTGACATGTGTAACATGCGAAACTATTAAGAGAGCTGTATCTTTGCATTTTTTCCCAAAAAACTGGCTAAAACTTAACAGGCAAAACAAACAGAATTTTGTACTAATAACATAGTGATTTCTTTGGGTTTGGGTTTTTTTGGTTGGTTGGTTTGGTGGGGTTTTTTAATAAAAATAGATAGGAAGGCAAGCAGTACAGTTATGGGTCTTGTATGTGAAGTAGCACATGACAGCTTTGTGTGTTGCTCTGTAATTCACACACTCTTCAAGATCTGGGTGATTCGCTGGGACACTGGTATGCTCAGCAAGAACCCCTCCAGCCTCCAGCCTATTTCTGATTAAAAGTGTCCTGCTGTCCAGGAAGGGTGCAAAGAGGGCTCCAATATGAATTAGAGCATCTTCCTCTGTTACCTAACCCAAGCCATCTACAGTCCAGCCTCAGTTACAGAGTGGGTCTTCAGGGGTCTGGCAACCACAACATATTGTAAGATGCAGAGTCCCACAGGCCATAAACATGGAAGCCTGTTTTAAATTCCAGCCTTCAGACAGATGATTATTTGGAGGAGAAAAAATTGCAGAACAAAAAAAAATGAAAAATGAGATGAGCCACATTAACTACGTGTTAATATCTCCTAGCATCTTGTTAGAAAAGAGACATATTTGCAAAGTTCTTTATACGCACACACTCAAAACAATTATTAAATTAGTCTGCTTTCCTTGAACATATCATACTTCACAGCACTAAATGTCAGGTTTCAAAATTCAACTTCTGTTTCAAGTCGTCTAATTTTTCCCTAGTTTTCCCTATAATCTACTTTTAAATGATTTAACAACTGACAAGCATTTTCATTATTTGCTTACTTCACAAAAATTGCTAAAGATATTTCAATGTAAACATCTTCCTTTTCTAAAACTACTTTAAGGATTACTTTAGCACTGAAAATAGCAACCTGTAACTTGTCTTTTTAGCTTACGTTAAAATTGGAAGCAGTGATGCAGAAACATTTTGGCAATATCAAATAAACTGCAATTTGAAAACTACAATAGCATCGGGCGTTTGAGAGATAGATATAGATTTTCCTGATCTCAGGCAAGCAGCAATTAAAATACACTTACTCCCTTCCTCTGAAGAGACTACCAGGCAGTGTTCTCCCTGCTGGTTCCCGATGCCCCAGCACAAGGGTAGTGGAGCTGCTTTCCCCCCCATATATTTTGGCTAAAGTGGGTAGAAGGGATGGGTCAGATCTCCCTTCATGATGTTCTTTCAGCAACCTGGGAGGCACTGGACACAACCTGTGCTAACCAGCTTCCAGGGCAGAGCAGAAAACAATTTTCTTCCACAGAAAGGAAAATAGCTTTGAGATTCAAAAATACTACCAGTAGTAGAAAATTAATGGGAAGCTTGTCTATACATCTGTCTCTTGCAGTTGTTTCCATGGTCTCATTGACGGGTTGTCCTCTGTGAATGGTTTATAACATTTGCCTGCCTACAGATTTTTTGGAGTCTATAAATATGCTAGCACCTTCTGGAGTTCAGGCATTTGGGGTCTCCCTCATCTGCTGCTCCTGAAGCTTGTTACACCCTGATCACCCGTGAGCCGTCTCCTTTTCTGTCTTTGGCAGAACCAGCCACCGAGTTCAGGGGGAGAGGTGGGGGTGTGCAGAGGAGCAACATTCACATCAGACTTGTTTCCCTAGGATATGTTCTGAAAAAATGTCACTCAAAAATGAAATACAAGTTAATGAGGAAGCTATTTACACCTATGTATTTTGCTAATTACAATTATACAATTAGCGACATATGCAGTTATAAATACATACACATTTAAATAATGTATTATAAATTATACAGGTAATCTTGTGTCTGTATTTTTATATATGCGTATATGGCTAATGATACAATTGCTGTCATTCTGTTCTATATATTTGTGTGTGCATAGTTACCAACACCCACAGATGAGGCACAGAAATAAGAGCCATGAAAGATAACCTGCCCAGAGACGCAGAACTACAAAGAATTCTGTCACTCTGCAACACATCTGCCCTTCGGAGGAGCGTGCCAGGCACCCCGCACACGCACCAGCAGCGGCCACGCCAGTGGCGACCACCAGAGAACGAGCCCACAGGCATTTTCTGCCCCCCTTTCCGCCACACACCCTCACACAACGCCGAGCCCTGCGAGCTGCTGCTGCGGCGGGTACTGAGGGGGCGGCCGGGACGGCGAGCGAGGGCCCGGCCTGCAGGGCGGCTGGGACGGGCCGGTCCCCTGCCCGGGCGGGCCCCGCCTGGGCCTC